AGCTAATGTTTAACAGGTAGGGACAGTGCAGCATGTCACAAAGAAATAGACCCCCAAATAGCCCATGGAATAGACAGAATCAGTCAGAAAGTCAAATGTGCCATGAAGAGCAGGAGAGAGCAAGTGCCCAGGCCTCTCCCACCAGTTCACGTCAGTGTGTGGAATGGTGCATCTGGCTTAGAAGAGCAATAACTCGATTCCCCAGCCAGGACCCCTTCAACCACAGGAAGAGTTCATACAAGTTGATCTGCCACAGGCTCAGGGTTTCCATGAGTGAGATCTGCACCCTTCTGTAAAGCAAGTGAGTCCTGCTCCTCTGATACCTAGAAGGAAAAACAGGAGTTAAATCCCGCAGCATGCAGCCTGGCAGAAAGGAGGACTGTCCTACATCTTCAGTACAAAAAATTCTCCCCAGGGGAAAGGGACCGTCCCATTTCTGGAGCATCAGCATCAGTGGGAGCTACAGGGAATAGGGATTTCCTTTGAGAAAACATTCCTCAGTAGCTGGGGACTGCCTTCCTGGCATAAATCTGGCAGAGGAGACAGCCTGCTCATGTGGGATCCTGGTTCTCTTCCAGCCACTCAGCCTGGAAGACTCTGGGACAGCAGAAGTGAATTGACTTCCAAAGTGAGTGGGGATCAGACCCACAGATGGAAAGCAGTTGTCTGGTTCCTGTTCCACAGTTAAGTGTCACAGTTATCCCTGATCCCTATATCAGAAATAGATAGCTATGAACCTGCAGATCTTTCTTACCTGCACGTACTTTCCAGTACTGATGCCTATAGCAGGCAGGAAACCCCATCCCCTCTTCTTCAGGGAGTTACAGGGCCAAACCTAAAACATTATCCTAAGGTTTCCAACTCCACCCAGGTCCCCAGCTGGAGATGAGACACTGGTCCCAAGAAGAGGTTGAAGAGAGCAGCACAGAAAGAAGATGACCTGCATAAATAAGAAGGGGTAGGATCCAAAATACATGGAGAGGTCCATAGCCCAGGATAGGAGGTCAAAATCCACATCAGACCTCTAGTGCTCAGGCAAAAAAAAACTCACGTGGAAACAGCTCTGATGCAGCAGCGAGACATGTTGAGGAAGGAGCTGGCGCTGGCCCGTGTGTGCAGGGCTGACTCAATCCCTCGTAGCAAGTCATTGGTCTTCAGCAGCAGCAGCATCTGGCGGGGGACGTTGTTGAGCAGCTGGGTGATCTGGGGTAGGTAAGCAGCAGCATTGGACCGGATTTCCACGTCCTGTGGCCAGCCAGGTCATACACATGTCAGGGAGAGAGGAGAGAGAGCATGGGAAACTGCATCCAGATGTGGCTGAGATCGATCTGGCAGGATGAGAAGGTATTTTGCCAGACCATAACTGTAGGCCAGAAGCTTAAAAGCTCCTCCTGTTGTTTTGCTGCAGACACCAAGCTGTCCCAAGCACTCAGAGCACTGGCCTAGCTCATTCTTGCCACGCTCCATCAACCCTTCAGCGGGAGAAGGACCCTTCACCTCACTGGCAGGATTAATAACCTCTCAGGACAACAGGGCTCTTGCTGCTACCTCAGTTCTTGGCCGCGAGCAGCACACAGCAATCAGGCATCATTACCACCCTTGCAGCTTTCAGACAGCTGAGAGAGCTGCAGGTACCACTGGACAAATCAAGAATTTGGGGAATGAAAGCAAGCCAGGAAGCTCCTTGTCACCTCTACTTTGCCAACCCATGCAACTGATGGCTTCATGTTATGCTAAGGAAGCTACTTCCAGGTCTTGTCTAGCCCTCTGTCATCCACACAGCTCATCAGGGGCGAGCAAACATAACACGTACCTTTGTGCTAACCCACAGGTTTACAAAACTGTCACCCTACGCCCCATTAAGGGCCCATCTGTCCGGTATGCATCTAACAACAGTCAATATCAGATGC